GCTGGGGGGGGCGGTTCTTGTCCAAGTTCTCCCCCATTTGCTTTGTGGCTGCTGCAGCCGAAACGGACGTGTCCCAGGGAGGCGGCCACGCTCCGAGGCCAGGTTGTCTCCACGCAGTTTTCACAGCCCGAGTTTAAACTAGTCCTTTGCATTCTACCCGGCCCTCTGCAATGCGGATGTATTTTAATTCTTAAATTCTTTATGGAAGAGCTTTCTAAGTTGGGCTTGATTATTGAACCTTGCACGTCTCCTGCAGTTGAAGTTTACGTGTCTAGATTAGGATCAGCCCTCCAGAAGAGGCATTCAGCTTTTCCACTAAATATATTTTTTACAAAACCAGTGCCCCGAAGGTCATCTCCCATTACACACACCACGCTGATCAAAAAAGAAAATATTAACGCCAATTTGTCGACTCGAGTTAAATAAAACTTTCTGATTACGTTGCATTATTCTTAATGTATGTTGACTTGGCCTTTCTGTTTTAAAAAAAAATGAGTTATTTGATTTAAAGCATGCAGCTAATCACCGATCACTCGAGTGCATATTTGGTTAATCCCTCGGTCCCCCTCTCTTCGCTCCCTCCCCCTTAACTTAAAAAAAAAAAAAGCCACCACACACAAAACAAAAACACTCCCCATGCCAATCAAAACGTAGCTGTACTATGCACAAAACAAATTTAACTATTCCAAGCCATTTAAATCTCTGAATAATCACCCTGTTTCAGAAGCCCAGTTCAGAAGGAGAAATTTGCAGTCACTTAACATACGCAGTCACACACGTACTTAAAAACATTAGCCATATAGTGTGTGTCTTTTCGCCCTAAAACTGGAAACCATGCATTTTTTAAACAAAACCAGCCTCATTATTAAAGTCAATCCCAACAAATGCACTCGCCGTAACACGATTCCCAACTGGTTTATGTTGCAAACCAGATAAGCCAAACCGACCACAGACATTAAATTTGATGTGCCAGTGCAAGATCGCCATAATCAGACCCTCGATTGCAACTTAAAGGGCTTCCAACACATATGCGTTACACGATTTCCCAAATAACATTAATAATAGTAACGCGGGCGCATTTGCATGCAAAGTGCAATATGGGGCCAAATCCGCCTGAGAATGCAGTTTAGTTACATGACCGCAGCCCCCCCACACCCCCCAAGCTCCACCAAAATCCTTTGCCTTTCATCTAAAACTAGATTATGGTTGTGTCATTCGAGGTCAATTTATTCACTTGAGGTATCTCTAACACCAATCTGTTTTTTCAAGCCAAACTAGGCAGGCACGACTTTGCCTGAAAAGCCCTCTTTCAGAAAAGAAAGAAACAGCCTTATCGGACGCTGTGTTTAAAATCCTTGGGCTGCAGAATTATCTATAAACTTGACATTCACAGCCATTGCTTGAAACTGCAAGTCAAAGGATGTGTTGTTAGGAGCACTTACGTATTTCTTCTGAATGATATTCCTCTTGGGTCTTTCCTTGCTCATTCTGAGATCCAAATGCTGATTGCAAAAGGGGACAATTGCTTCATGAATTTAAAGCCGTCAGAAATTTGCAAAAAAATATCCTGGTGGTTTTTATTGTTGGTGGTGGTGGTGAATCTTGTAATCCGACTTTTTCTCGTCGTCCCCAAAGCCAGATTCGCCTTGAAATAAATCCAAAATTGGGAAGGAAAAAAAAAAAAGAGCCAAAGACGAACGAAGCAAACAAAAACAAAAACAAAAAATTCACTTTAGTAAAACACTCATAATGGAAAATTTCCCCCGAAACACATACACACACACCACACAAAAAAAAAACCGACGCCCTTCGCTTCCCCCCTTTTTCCTCCAAAAACTACATCAGCGAAACGTGAAGGTCCTTAGTGTCTGATCTGTAGTTACATCTTGGAAAAGAAAAGGGAAAGATAAATAAAAAATGTTGGAAGTCACGTTCGTGCTGCAGCGGCAGTGCGAGCAGAAGAGTCAACTCCAGCGGCGGCGGTGGCGGCGGCGGCAGCACCACAGCGAGGGCTCGCCGAGTCTTTTTTCCAAGCCCCGCAGCCAATGAGAGACGGGCGATCCAGCCCAACTTTAAATGGACTCTGCTTTTATACAAGTTAGGGCTCCTCGGGTAATTCCCCGCCGAAAGCCAGCCGAAAACTCCCACCGCTCAGCCGCCGGGCGCCCGCCTACCCCAACACCGACAGCCCCTGGCCCAGTCCACAGGACCCCGGGTACCCCGCCGCCTGGACACCCGCAAGGCCTCGCCAAACCCTTCCCAGGCAGCCCCTCGGGCATCGCTCCCACGCCGAGCCCAGGAGCGGAATTGAGAGAGGCTCCCTAGCTCAATGCATGGCACGCTCGGTCGCTCCACCTCACCTCCTTCCCCCGCTTGCCGCTCACCCCGCCGCCGCCACCCGCGAGCCCCCCC